ACTCTCATCTCAAATCATAATATAATAGCAAGCACGGAAACACACTTCGTGCATATCCTCACTTTAACTCAAGCACAAAAACACCCTTCGTTCAATGATATCAATATATGAATAAAGCATAAAACTTTCCTTCATGCACAAGCACGACAACACAATTTGTGCATCTCACTCTTCCTCACCAAGCATCACATATAACATTGTATACGGTACAAACCGGTCTCAAGAGTTGGGTAAATTAGAAAGCAACACGTATTAAGGATGACCAGTCAGTGGTGACTCAACCATGGTGACATCAGATACAAACATATGGCAAGATAAAAAGCAATTCAAGATATGACCATTATAGATACAGTACAAAAGACCCCAAGATTCCTCCGGCCTTTGTTAGCCTTTATTAGGCATTATTGCCTTTTATTATTCTTTATCACCATTTAATTACCTTTTATTGCAGCATTAATATTGGTAATTAAGGGGGAATAATTTCTAGATCATACACCCCATAGCTCTAGTATAAATAGAAGCTTTCATTCTACAGTAAGACATGAAGATTCACTGATAACAAAAGACTAATATTCTTTCTCTCATTCTTTTAAGATTTATACAAGTGTGGTCGAGATTTTCCAATTATCCTTGATTCGGTTGGAACATTCTGAAGCTCAGGCTTGTCTCTTCTTCAATTATCCTTATTTACTCTATTTGCACTTTTTTTATTTATTTTATCAGATCAATTTAATCCACGTGTCTATTAACCACGTTAAAAATTCAAATGTATCATTTTACGGGTAAATAGTTTGGCGCCCACCATGGGGTTTAGACAATTGTGGTATTATTTTGATATGTTCTTCTTTTACTAACATACTTTGAAGCTTTTTTGTTTTAAGCATAAAAATGCTATGGCACCTAATGATTCAACAACTCGCTCAATGTTGGAACAATAACAACGACGAGCCCGTGGACAATCTCCATGATGGAAATCAATAGGATGGTTCAACCAGTGAAACTCGTCTCGATGGGAATGAATCAACTCCTAACTAGTTAGAAAGAAATACTCAGTGGGCAATGAGACTATTACACCTTACATATAAGTTCTAGTGCGGCAAAGAGACTTTATAATTCCTAACTAGTTAGAAAGAACATAAGGGGATTACACGTTTCATTGGACTAGTGCCAGTTGTCCCACTGGGTGCTGTAACCGGGGTGGGGTGACCCATTTTCATTTGGAGGCGGCAGAATTTCCTAGACTTGGCACAATATATAAAGGTAGTGTAGATATTTCTCTTTCATTCTAAAAAGACATCACCTATTTTAGTTTATCCACAATGCTCTCAAACCCCCTTTAGAATTTCCGAACAGTCTAAGACAAGGACGAAGGTGAATCTAGTAGGATCTAGCATGAATGAGCTTGGAATCATTGCTATAACATATATTATCTTGTTGTATTGATTCTATAGATTCATTGGAGGCAGAGGTAACCATCATAGAAGCGTAGCGAGTTCTTCAAAAAGGTATGTAGGACAACATCCTTTCTTGGCATGACTTGGTATGAGTGTCTCTCCTTCAAGGATTTCTGTGTTGTGGGACTGGATTGCTCTAAGATCCTCTCGAAAATGTTGTTTTTGTTCTTGTATATTGTTCTTACCGGTGGCATTACTTGTTTCTGAGATGTTTTCCAGATAGTTCCCTAAGCTCGAAAAAATATGATTCCTTCTGAGTTTGATCTTTGTATCTCTTGAAATTGACTCTGCATTGCACTTATACCTCTCTCTCTCTCTCTCTCTCTCTCTATNACCTATTATGCAACCACTGATCAGTTTGGTATGATGAGACATGATATGAGATTTTACCGAGCCCTTGTGTGGCCAGGTAAGATGATGTGTGATGTGAGGCTACCAAGTCCCCTTGAGTCACCTTGAGGCCGGTTATGCTGAGTTTTGTTGAGACTAGGTACATCAGAGACCTCCTAAGGCCGGGTACGATCGAGTACTCTCTGAGGACGGGTATGGGGTGATGTGTGTAGTGACGTTACCGAGCCCTCTTGAGGCCGACTATTCCGAGTCCTGTTAAGGCCCAGTACTGTTGTAAGGCCCCATAAAATTTCACCTAAAACCCGTGGTTTCGTGATGCTAAGGTAGGCTTATGTGTTTGATAATGGTATAAATTCTTTGCCGCGAGCTTGCTTGCCGCGGTTCGAACTTTTTGGGGAGTTGAAGAAAACATTTTGCATAACAGGGCATTTCTGCGATCCATTATGTGACTGCAGAACTACTCCGCGGACCGCAGATCCTCCGCAGAGTGAATCAGAAAAATGGCCAATTTTGGAGGTCGTTTTGCGGTCAACTATGCGACCGCATAATAGTTTTGTGGGCCGCACGTCCGTCGCAGAATTAGCATGAAGAAATTCAGAGGGTGATTCTGCGCTCCACTTCGCGGCCGCAGAACTGGTCTGCGGACCGTAGACTTGACCGCAGATTGAGCCAGGGCAGTCTAGTTTTTGGCATTACTTTTACTGCCCATTTTGCGGACCACACATCTATTCTATGGTCCACTCTGCGATCGCAGAGCTGTGTTCGGAGGGTCCATTTTCTGATTTTAAAACCCGATCCCATTTTTATAAAACAACCTTATGGGTTATTTTAGAAGGTTCAAACTGATATTTTAAAGAGAGGAAAGTGGTATAGAGTGAGAAGAGGAATTCCTAAGCTATTTGTTCATCAATCTTTGCTCAAGTCTTGAAGAATTCACAAGGTCTTCATTCAAGAGGTAAGATTCTAGCCCTAGCCTTCAATTTCGAAATTTGGGTTGGGAATAAGTAATGGGGAAGGAGGTTTTGAGCATGAGAGTTGCTATTTGTGCATGCATGTACTAATAAAGGTGGTAGGGAGGTTGTGGAGTATTTGTGGGTAGCCTATTGAAGTGGGGACTGATTGTGGGGTAAAGGAATCCACTATAGGAGGACCTTGAAACCTTTTGGCACACCTAGTGCTTGATAAAGTTCTCAAATGAGCTAAAAGCCCCGAGAATCTTCCTAATTATAGTTGAATTTTGTCATGTCTTTAACTATATTGAAGTCGCTAGGAGTTTTGGAACATTGTAGTAAATTAATGAAATCTCAGGCAAGGTATGTTGGCTAAACTCCTCTTGTAGGATCGATTTCCATGATCTCCTCATAAGTTGCGATTATGATTGGCTAAATTTCTTATTTCTCATGTTCCGAGTCCTTCCTAATAGAGTTGATTATTCTAAACTAAGTGTTGTGTTGAAAGATGTATGTACTCAAAATGTGTTCCAAATGTTCCAATCATATCATGATTCCCTCCGAGAATGTAATCTAGTATGATCAATGTACCAAAGGTGTTGTGATTTAAAAACCATATTTCAATTGCACGTTAGTATGCCTAATTGTGGAAGAGAAACTCAATGTGCTTAAGACTCTTGTTTGCTCATATGTGTACTTAAAGTCTTGATTTGAAATTCTCTTATTTATGATAATCCATGGTACCTCTTGAAAGTTATAGGGGTGAGTAAGAAATATGAAATACGGCCAACGTGTTGAGGATGTTATTACAATCGTGGCCACTAGTTCCAATGAAATGTAAAGATGTGTGAAATATTATGAAATGAGTTAAAAATCCTTTAAGTAATAAAGGCTTTGGGAGTATCGTTTTGTCACTGATGAAGGATAGGTCAAAATAACCTAACCCCGAAACTACACGTGTCGGTGTATGAGTGATTGAGGGGTAAATCCTCGTGTTGATGTGGTGAGATTGTTTCCCCTTATATGGGATGAGATCGATTTGTTGAGATATTTCACCTTAAATGGGAGGAGATTATTGCTAGCAAGATGTGATGTGATGTCGACCCGCATGGCATTGTGGTGAGACGGCTTAGCCGATCGGGCTGAGATCGAACTCCATGTCGCGCACATGGTGATGTTGTGAGTGGATGTCTCGGGGTTAGACGTCTTAGCCGATCGGGCTGAGATCAGACTCTGTGCTAAAAGCACAGTGGTGTATTGGTATTAAAGATCTCCCAACCTAAAATTATTGAAACTTACTTGGAATTTATTTTTCTCCTAACTTGACACCTTGATACTGTTTGAGGCTCTCATTGATTTCATGTTCCCTTCTCATTTTACTGTTACTCGTTCCATTGAGAGGGTGTTTAGTTTTACATACTAGTACTATTCCATATGTACTAACGTCCCCTTTGTCGGGGGCATTGCATCTTTAATGGATGCAGGTGGTTTCACAGCAGGCAGTATTGATCACTGATAGCAGTACACCCTCTCCTCAGCTAATTTGGTGAGCCCCATTTCATTTCGAGGTCTTGTATCTCTTGTTCTCTATGTATATTGTTTTTAGGTATAACCGGAGCCTTGTTGCACTTGGTGAGAGGTATTTACCTTAAGGCACAAAGATGATATCGAAGGGGTGTATTTATCACTTGGTGCGAGTGCAGGATGCGGAGGCAAAGCCTCCTATCCTCCGATTGATTCCACTTGTTAGTGAATTTCCCGATGTGTTCCCTGATAAGCTCCCGGGTATCCCTCTCTAAAGAGATAGATCGAGTTTGCCATTAATGTGCCATCCGATACATAACTGATATTTATCCCTTCGTACAGGATGGAAGGAATTGAAAGATCGTTTAGATAAGGGCTTCATTCAACCCAGTATTTCCCCGTGGGGAGCTCCAGTGTTGTTTGTTTGAAAGAAAGACGGTTTGTTAAGGATGTGCTTGATTATCGACAGTTACATAAATTAACCATTAAGAACAATGCACTAAGTATTTTTTGGAGATTGACCTCAAATCTGGGTATCATCAGTTAAGAATCAAGAAAGAAGATATTTTGAAGACAGCCTTTCGGACCAGATACGACCATTACGAATTTCTCGTTATGTCTTTTGGCCTAACCAACACACCAGCGGCTTTAATGGATCTAATGAATCGAGTGTTCAGGCCATTTTTGGATATCTTCATGATCATTCATAGACGATAGTTTTATGTATTCTCGATCAGAAGCAGAGCAAATAGAGCATTTACAAAAGGTCCTACACATACTTCGGGATCACAAGTTATACGCCAAGTTTTCCAAGTGTGAGTTCTTGCTGAACTCAGTGGCTTTCCTTGGGCATATAGTATCCGGTGAGGGTATCAAAGTTGATAGTCAAAAGGTTAAAATAGTTAAGAATTGGCCAAGGCCCACAACTCCTACCGAGGTACGCAACTTCTTGGGCTTAACTAATTACTACCAAAGGTTTGCGGAAAATTTCTCAGCCATAGATGCTCCATTGACGAAGTTGACGCATAAGGCAAGTAAATTTCAGTGGACTAACACTTGTAAAATAAGCTTCCAAGAGTTAAAAGGCAAGCTAACCTCGGCACCAGTTCTATATCTTCCTGAAGGACTTGAGGGGTACATTATATATTGTGATGCCTCTAGTGTGGGATTGGGCAGCGTTTTAATGCTACACGGGAGAGTTGTCGCTTATGCTTCGAGGAAACTAAGGAAACACGAACAGAGTTACCCAACTCATGACTTGGAGTTGGCAGCTGTTATATTTGCCTTAAAATATGGCATCACTGTCTGTATGGAGTTCATGTCAACATATTCACCGATCACAAGAGCTTGCAGTACATATTCAAGCATAAGAAATTAAACCTGAGGCAGTGGAGATGGATTAAATTGTTAAAGGATTACGATATTGATATTTTAAATCACCCCAAGAAGGAAACTATTGTGGATGATGCACTAAGTCGAAAATCCATGGGCAGCCTACGACATGTGGAATATTATAAGTTGGAAAGGTCTAAAGACTTTACTGGTTGGCTAATTTTAGTATACGATTGTTTGACATCGGTAGCGGAGGAGCCGTAGTTTGAAATGCTGCTGAATCCTTGCTAGTAGCTGAAGTAAAAGAACGGAAATTTGACGATCCAGCTTTGGTGAAAATAAGAGAAAGCGTTCCTTTTCTAAAGAAGTAAGTATTCGATCTATCTGAATACGGAGTCCTTAGATACCAGGATCGGTTATGTGCGCCCGATGTCAGGGGACTTCGAAGGCATCTCATGGTAGAGATTCACCAATCTCGGTATTTTGTGCATCCGGGGTCAACCAAGATGTATCACGATCTTTGACAGCTATATTGGTGAAATGGCATGAAGAGGAACATTACTGAATACGTCGCTCAGTGTCCAAACTGCCAACAAGTTAAGGTTAAAAACCAAAAACCAGTAGGATTGCTTCAGAATATGGAAATTCCAAGTACCCCCATATGTTTCACGCAACGGGAGGCAACAATGAGACTACCATGGCGGGCGCAACCTAGGATGACTAAAGAAGTTGGAAAGAAGTGACTATGATTCAACATTCGAGGATGAATGTTTGGAAGGGGGGATGATGTTACACCCCACACATAGAGTTACAGATTGGTAAGATTGGCTTCTAACGCAACCAATAGGCCGACGACGCGTATGAGGAGAGAAGGGGATTACATGTTTCATTGGACTTGCGCCAGCTGTCCCACTGGGTATTGTAATCGGGGCGAGGCGACCCATTTTGCATGTGGAGACGGCGGAATTTCCTAGACTTGGCATAATATAAAAAGGCAGTGTAGCTCTTTCTCTTTCATTCTAAAAAGACATCACCTATTTTAGTTTATCCACAATGCTCTCAAACCCCCTATAGAATTCCTAAACAGTCTAAGATAAGGACGAAGGTGAATCTAGTAGTGTCTAGCCTGAAGGATCTTGGAATCGTCGCTATAATCTATTATCTTGTTGTATTGATTATGGAGATACGTTGGAGGCAGAGTTAACCATCATAGAAGTGTAGCTAGTTCTTCAACAAGGTATGTAGGACAACCTCCTTTCTTGGCATGACTTGATATGACCGTCTCTCTCTCTCTCTCCTTCAAGGATTTCTATGTTGTAGGACTGGGTTGTTCTAAGATCCTCTCGATAATGTTGTTTCTGTTCTTGTATATTGTTCTTACCGGTGGCATTCCTTCAATTTCAGATATATTCCAGATAGTTCCCTGAGTTCGAAAAATATGATTCCTTCGTAGTTTGATCTTTGTATCTCTTAAAATTGACTTTGCATTTCACTTATATATATATATATATATATACATATATATTTTACCGAGTCGCACTATAGTTGGTCGGTTACGACACCTATTGTGCAATCCCTGATTAGTTGGGTATGAGACATGATATGAGATTGTACCAGGCCCTTGTGTGGCCGGGCCTGGTACGATGATGTGTGATGTGAGGCTCGAAAGAAGTACATATACATCAAAATTTGACGAGCGCACAACACACATATAAATATGCTCGCTAGTCAAATATAGTATAGAAAAATATCGTATCCACATTGATTGGATTTAAACAGTGTTTTCGCGACTTCTAGTTTAATTGCTATCCAACATGATCGGCAATTTAAATTTGTATGATTAAAACTAAAATTAACTAAAAGTCTAAACTATTGACTAATGACAATCGCAACAAGAGTAAGCAAAGAAGATATCAATGGGAGAAAATAGGGGTTGATTGGATAGGTGAAAGATAATTGCCTAGGATTAACTCTAGTTAACTCCTAATGCTTAACTGAGTCTCTCGAATTCACTCAATTATTAGTTTAAACATTCAGTAGAAACTCCTCTCTCGATTAAGTCTCAACCTTACAATATGAACCAATTTATGCTCGGTGAAGATAAGCAAGAATTCGCAGTGGATTGGTCTTTAGGAGAACCTCTTCCGATTATCCTCCTAACTAGGTCTAAACAATAATTCAACTAGCCTCTTTCGATTATTATGAAGAATCAATGAATTCAACCAACAGGATGATGCACAAACATCACACGTTATGCCTCTTTCGATTACATGAACATGTAAAAATAGATGCAACAATTAAAATACCCAAAACGATCCAATACATAAAAACTAGAGTTAATATCCATAAACAATTCTCAATACACAAAATACATCAATCCCTAAAGAGAACTACTCCATAGATATAGAGTAATTCATCACAAATAAGTTTTAAGTTAAAGGAAAACATACAACGATACATACTCATGTCTTGAGTGAGGATTGAATAATGAAATCCTTGTGCTCTTGCCTCTCCCACTACTCCTTAGCTTCCTTAGGTCTTAGATGTGTCAAAAGTCCTCAAAATGTCATTTTTCCATGTATATATACCAAGTAGTGTCGGGCCCAAACAAATACACCTTCTCCTTCACGAAGTAGGATTTTTCCCGGACAGGACGTGCGCGGCCGCGCACCTAGAGATGTGCCCGCGCATATGGCCGCACACTTTGCATAGTACATTGCCTCACATGCGCGCCCAGTGTGCGCTCGCGCACCTGGGTGACGCCTGACTCGATTCTTCGTCTCTCTCTTTGAATGCACTAGTGTCCATTGTTCCCGAATTCAATGCCAACTAAGACCTTGGGCTTTTACTCAGACTTCAAAGCTCTAAAATAGCCTGAATTTACTCCCATAACATCTACATAGCTCGGAATCACTCCTACAAGGCATAAAACATATAATTAGTGCAAAACACTAGCGATTAAAGCTCAAACTCAATTAAAGTGCAGTAAATTAGAGTGTGATAAGAGACTAAAACACTCAATTATAGCCTACCATGAACACCCCACACTAAAACCATTGCTCGTCCTCGAGCAATCAAACTACACATTATAATGACACGACCCTTTTAAACAACTCTCATAACTCATCATACCAAGAATATTTAAAATAGACTAAGCACAATAGTGTAACATCCTAGCCTCAACATTTGACTCACAAGTACCACGCATTATTTATAACTCGCTCACTTGCTCTAACACATACGTCAACGACATTACTTTTCCTTCATGAATCACGTGCCCTCACAACAAAAGAGAGTAGTTCCATACACCATAGAAATTAAGAATAATTAGGAACTCAAGATAGAAAGAATTCACTCACTATATAAACAGCATTCATATGCCACAAAATATGCACCATAGGCTTGACCGTAGTGTACTACTCTACTAATTCGAGCTCATTCGGTCAAGGATCACGTAGGACTTTAATTGGTTGTAATGTAGGCTACAGGACGGGTAGGATACATTTAGATATAAGAGTGACTACACCTCCCGAAGCACTTTAATACATATATTTCATTCAAAACCCCACACTTATGTCAAACCAAGACTCCACCTTCACATCCATATATATTAACTCCCCACTTATTTAAGCACAATTACATCAAGATTTACCACTTATCAATGAATAATGTTCATAACAATACAACTATATTTTTTTCTTTCTCAATTTAAGTGGCTCTTACTTTTTTTTCAAAACAGTGCACCTTTCTCCTTATTTCATTAGTTCCACTCAAAATACAAACTAACCACCCCACACTTCAACTTTTACAAAGTTCATACAATTTCAAGTGTTCACGAGAGGTAAAAGCTTCAAATAGATGGTCAATTCAAACAAATGGGTAAGGCTTGTAATGTGGGTGCCAAAGAAATAGGATTACAGGCTCAACGGGGTTAACTATGATACATAACAAATTAGTGGGTAAACGCATATCATTGGTTGAACAAAGAAATGCCTATATCACTTCCAAGACTAAATAAAACTACTATTTCGCGTTGCAAACACACGGGGCAAGTTCTAGGCATCAAATGCAATGTACAGAATAACACAAAACCTCACACACACATGGCACATAACTCACTCAAGATTGGATTCTCAAGACACTCTAGTCAAAGCAGTTAAGGAAGGGTAAGGTCATACAATTTAAGGTACTTATGCAAGAGTCAAAAACTGAGCCTAAGCGTCATAACTAAAGCCCTCACTATTCTCAAGGAATAACAAAATTAAGAGATATTGTTTTCAAATCAAACCATAGCACAAGGGTTCCTACTTCTAAAAATAAAAATAACTACACCCGGTTCAAACAAAACCCTTGCAAAAGAACCGCGGCACAAAGAAAAACCAAGGGGGAATTAATACACTACCTAACAAAATAAAATCTTTTTGTCTTTTTCTTTCGACTTTAATCCCTCAAAAAACCCGTCAAATGATATCCATCATCAGGAAAAATTGAAAGTTTTAAAATTTTTATGATTTTAAAAAAAATAATTTCTATCAAACTACTACAACTAAGAAAAAAGTACATATATATATATACAACATACAAATATCCTCCACCCCACACTTTAAGTTGTGGCATGTCCTCATGACACACAATTAAAAAGTATAAGGTGGAGGAAACTTCCCTGAATCTCTAGTTGAGGTCTGCTTCGAAGTCGGGCTCTATTCTTCTTGCCTGAACTAGTGCAGACATCCACGCGGACAGCTTCTTCTCAGCCTTATTGGGGTACACCCCACACTTGTCTTTCTCAATCAATGGGACCTTCTCTTTCGAGCTTTTCACTCTCCACTCTACACTTGCAGCTGGCTTCTCCTTTCTCAACCCCATCTCCACATTCATCTCAAAAGTCATCGTCTCATCACCCACTCTAAGCATGAGCTTTCTATCATGTATGTCTAATATTGCTCTGCCCGTCGCTAAGAATGGTCTTCCTAAATTAATGGGGACCTCTTTATTCTCCTCCATCTTCACCACTATGAAATCTACAGGAAATATAAACTTATCTAT